TATATTTTAGCATTATATAACTTACCATGGTATAAATAAAATATTACACTGGCACAAATCTGTAATAAATTAATCTTGTTGTTTATACTTTATATCAGGATATGAACTTCAAAAAGCATGTGTTTGTAATAATATTATGAAAGTGTTTATAGAAATACAGTTAAGGAGCGGATGAATAATGAGATTTGTAATTAATATCGATTGTGTTTTTAAATAACTAAAAATAATTAATTAATTATTTGAGAGAGAGAGAGAGAGAAAGAGAGAGAGAGATCCTGAATGTAAGAGATAGATGTATACAAAAAAGGTATATAAAGACGAGTTGTTTCATGAAATTTCAAATCAAACCAATTTGACTGATATTACAGTTAAATACAAAACTTGCGAAACAAACAAGAGTTTGAAAAAATGTACAAATTATTGTTGATTACAGGACTGATAGGTCTGTCGGTGTCGGCAGTGATTGAGCCGCGATGTGGCAAAAGTAGTGACCGAAGCGGCGAAAGCAACGGATGGTCTGTAGAGTACAGCGGAAGTGACGGATCAAATGCGGGACTTTTNTTGATTACAGGACTGATAGGTCTGTCGGTGTCGGCAGTGATTGAGCCGCGATGTGGCAAAAGTAGTGACCGAAGCGGCGAAAGCAACGGATGGTCTGTAGAGTACAGCGGAAGTGACGGATCAAATGCGGGACTTTTGGGTAGAAATGGACAGACATTTGGATCTGGTTTGGGACGACTCGGATGGCTGAACGGCGCCCAAAGCGGTGGCATTAATGGCGGACTCAACGCAGGAATCAATGAACGACTTAGAAATCAATTGAGCGGATCATTGGGTGGTCTTCTGGGAGGAGGTGTCGCACAACAGGTCACCGGAACCAAGACCTGCACTAAAGGCCAACAATCGGGTGCTTTGGATATCAGCGGACAAATGAGACAAACACTTGAGGGACGCCTGAATGAGGCCAGACATCAACTCGAGGGTGCGATTAATGGCCACAGAAGTGGTGTATCAGTTGGCGGACAAGTAAACGGACAAAAGACCAGCACTTGTACTAAAGGACAACAATCGGGTATTTCTACTGATATTAAGGGTTCTGTGGAAGAGATGAGACACAGACTCGAAGGCGCACTCAATGGACACAAATTGGGTTTAAATGGAGACAATGGATGGGCTATAAACTGGTCAAACAATGGACAACACGGCTCACAATCGGCACAAGACCTCATCGGAGGAGTTGTCGGCGGAATCGTAGGACGCGATCATCAAATTGGAAAGAATGGACACTTTGAATGGTCCGCACAATCGGGCCATCATTTCGGTGGACAATCTGATAACTCGGAAGACGATTCATCGTCTGATTCTTCATCCGATTCTTCATCAGATGACTCTTCCTCTTCATCGGAAGGTTCATCGGAAGAGCGCCATCACGTGAGCGGTCACTTCAACGGTCACACCAGTGGTCACACCAATGGACACATCAGTGGACAAACCAATGGTCATACAAGTGGTCACATCAATGGTCGTACCAGTGGACACACGGGTGTATTGACTGGTGATTTGGGTCACTTTAACGGACACATCGGTATTGACTTGAATGGTGTTAGGGATGAGTTAACGCATGGCATCGGACACACTGTCGGACACATCGGCACTACTGTTACTCAACACTCGGGTATAGTTGGAGGCCATTTGGGTCACATCGGGACCACTGTTGGCCACAATTGCACCAAAAATCACACACAAACTGTTGGCAACAATAATAGCGGATCTACTGGACACGTGTCGGTGACAGTCGGTGGCACAACAACTACTACTACTGGTAAAGACATTTTGGGTGATCTGAAGGGACCCATCGGCCAAACTGTTGGAACAGTTGGAGGTATTCTTAACGGTCATTCAACTGGTGGTGTCACTAATGGAGGATCTGCTGGACACGTCTCAGTGACAGTCGGGACCACAACTGGTAAAGACATTTTGGGTGACCTCAAGGGACACATCGACCAAACCGTTGGCTCAGTTGGAGGTATACTGAATGGACATTCGGGTCATTCAACGGGTGGTAATAACGAGTGGTCGTCTTCGTGGTCATCGCACTCGGGATCTCAAAACTCTGGCCATCAAATCGGAGGAAATAGTGGTTTATTGAACGGCCATTTGGGTCACATCGGAACCATTGGAACCACTGTTCACCACAATTGCACCAAAAATCACACACAAACTGTTGGCAACACTAATGGAGGATCTGCTGGACACGTGTCGGTGACAGTCGGGGGCACAACAACTACTACTACTACTGGTAAAGACATTTTGGGTGATCTGAAGGGACACATCGGCCAAACTGTTGGAACAGTTGGAGGTATTCTCGGCGGTCACTCAACTGATAGCAACACTAATGGAGGATCTGCTGGACACGTCTCAGTGACAGTCGGCGGCACAACTGGTAAAGACATTTTGGGTGACCTCAAGGGACACATCGATCAAACCGTTGGATCAGTTGTCGGAGGAGTTATCGGTGGAACGACCGGCCACTCGGGCTCAACCGGTTCCAGCTCGTGGTCTTCTTCATCTTCGAGCGGATCGCAGACCACTGGACAACAAACCGGCACTTCTGGTAATACGGGTGCCATTAATTTGGACGCCATTAAAGGACAGTTGACCGGCGCTCTTAATGGTGTTCTTTCTGGAAACGGAGGTAAATCTGGACAAACTTCTGGAAACGATGGCAGCTCTTCGTGGAACTACAACTGGTCCACTGATGGCAAGTCAGGCACCGGAGCCCAGACTACTGGCGGTAACTCACAAATCGGTGTTGACTTGAATGGCGTTAAGAGCCAATTGAACGGCGCTCTCAACGGTGTTCTCAATGGAGGTTACAGACCTTTAAGACCAGTAAGAAGACCTTCAAGACAGTGAATATTGATGTGCTGACCTTCGCCTTGAAGACCGTGACCTTAACTACACTTGCGATAGTGGCCAGTCAACTGCCCACGAGAGTTACCAGCCCTTTCTGGTAATGGAGGCAAATCTGGACAAACTTCCGGAGGCGATGGCAGCTCTTCGTGGAACTACAACTGGTCTACTGATGGCAAATCAGGCACTGGAGCCCAAACCACTGGATCCGTCTCGTGACCATCATTGCGTGTTTAACCATAACTAAACTTACCATAGTGTTCAGTTCACTGCCCGCCAGAATTGCCGCGAGAGTGGCCTAACCGACCTTTACGCCCGGTCAGAAGCCCGTAGAGATAGGACGGCAGCACTTTATGGAGTGGTCAGTGGTCTAGCGGTTCGAAGTCCGGCAGTGGATCCCAATCTCAATCCGGTCTTGGATTAGACATTAATGGACTCATTGGAAAGGCTGTGTCGGGACAGTTGGGTCAACAGTCAGGCGGTAATGGAAACAATCAGTGGAGTGGCCAGTGGTCGGGCAATGGAGGCATTGATGCCAACCAATTAAGCGCAATGTTAGCCAAATTACAGAGTAGTGGTGCTCAGGCCAACTCTGGTGTGTCCATCAATACAGGTGTGAATAAGGGTGCGATCGGCACCGGCACTAACAAAATCGGCTCAACCGGCGATTCATACAACTATAGCTTTGCTTTACCCGCACAACGCGTCTAAAGGCATCCGACACTACTCTATACCACTATATAATCTCTTATTGTAATAATCTCTACGAAAATCAATTAATAAAATGTTAATCTAATTGCAAATACAATATAAAATTTTATATTGAAATATATTTCTGTAAATACAGTATTTATATTTAAAAATTAATAATGAATAAAATTATTTATTATTTTTACAAAACGTTTTGA